TTGTTCCCTTGTCCCTGGGTTAGCCAACACCTCCTCCCTTCCCTACCTCCCACGCTCTCATGTCCCTCCGGGACCGTTGGTCCCATTATTTTCTTCTCACATTGTTGGTCCAGCTATCTTATCTAGGTGGACTGCAGCAGCTGTTTTAAAGAACAGGGTACGATGTTTAAAATCGGGAAAAATGTGCATCAAGGTTGTATTATTCAGTCTATATGCTGGCAAGTAATCGGAGAAGCCAGGCTATATAAAGAAGAATGTGAGATCAGGATTGGAGGAAGATTCATTAACAACCTGATATGCAAATGATACAACCTTGCTTACTCTACGCCAATACCTGAAGCAATTACTGCTGACGACCAAACACCACAGCCTTCAGTTTAGATTACATACGCCTCAACATACAGAAAACAAAAATCCTCATAAGTGGACTGATAAACAACAAACAAACAAAATCATGTTGTCAAGGATTTCATTTTATGTGGATTCACAATCAATGTCCATGGAAGAAGCAGTCAAGAAATCAAAGGATCTATTACACTGGGGAAATCTGCTGGAAAACATTTTTAAGTGTTAAAAAGCAAGTATGTTTTGAAGACTAAGGTTTACCTGACTCAAGTCATGGTATTTTCAATTGTCTCATATGCATGTGAAATCTGAACAATGAATAAGGAAGACTAAAGATTTGATGGCATTGAGTTATGATATTGGTGAAGAATATTAAATATACCATGGACCAAAGAACGGTTAAATCTCTTGGAGGAAGTCAGACAGAAAACTCTTTAGATGACAGGATGAGGAGATTTCATCTCGTGTTATCAGGAGGGCCCAGCCTCGAGGGCATCACATCACGCTTGGTAGAGGATCAGGGAGAAGACACTGAAGGCGTTGGACTGTCACAGTGGCTGCAACAGTAGGCCCAAACATAGGAATGGTTGTGAGACTTTCACAGGGCTTGGGCAGTGTTTGCCTCTGTATGTAAGGTTCCTATGAATCAGAACTTGACAGCACCTAGCAGCACACTGTTGATTACCATATATACTCGAGCATAAGCCACCCCGCATATCAGCCGAGGCACCGAACTTTACCACAAAAACTGCACAAAAATGTGCTGAAAAACTCAGCTTACACATGAGTATGTACGGTAATTGCTATTATAATCTGGGTATCATATTTAATTCTTACAATCTAAGAGGTAAATTCTATTTATTAAAGTTTGAATTGCTCAGACTGAGTGGTTAAACCACATATTCAATGACAGACACACATTCAAGAGCCAAACCTAGTTCCATCTGACTGTGGAAGTCAATCCCTTAATCTTGTCCACTACTGCTGCCTTATAGAGAAAGGGCATGCATGTCGAGAAGGCAATGGAAGCACATTTTCTATAGACTACATTACCTACCTTATTAACAGATCAAGGTAACTGAATGAGAGGTATGAAGCTTAGGTACTAACTAGACATGGCTTTTGAAGCCACAGATGTTTTAGAGTTAGGAAATAGCTTTATACATCAAGAATACATTTTAAAATCACAGAAAAAAAACTCAAAATCACTTTGCTTACCAAGTCATTTAGCCACCCTGACTGGTAAACAGTGGCCTTGTCTTCCTCGGGGGTCTCTTGGGAAAGGACAGAGTTCTGAGGAGCTGGGGAAGACAAACAGACCATGATGGAGATGATTCCTGTTTGAATAGCCTAGATTTCCTCAGTTTCGAAATCCTTTACCACATACATGTAGGCTTCAAAAAGTTTGTAGACAAATTCCATTATCTTTTAATTCCATTTCCCCAGGAACTTTTGAAGCACTCTCATACAGGTACTTTCTTAAACTAAGAACTCAGAAGAACTTCAAAACAGCACCACAACGAACGGGAGAGAAAGGCAGTCACTTAACCCAGGATCACAATCCAGGCTTTAAAAGCAAGTTTGCCCTGGAACGCTTAAGTATTTGCACCAACTTCACAAATTTCCACTAAATCCTTTATCAAAGATGTGTGCTGTCTTTCAGTTAATGAGGAGATGTTCTCAGGACCCTTGTCTACATCTTTGGAAGCATGCTATCATAAAATCCAATTTGCACAGTAAATGACTGGCAGAATGGTGCAAGCCTCTGCAGGCACACACGCGGGTGAGTTGCTTATGTCTGGTGACTCCTTTCAGGAAACATCTCTTAATTTTACATGTGTTTGGTATCAAGCTATCAAAGGGGGCCATCAAAGCAGGGTAGGACTCCTGTTAAAACCCTGCTCTCACTCACTCGCTGATGGTCCTTCATCCCCAATTTCTTTATAGGGGATGCTCTCTGACGTGTTTGCTGCCTTCTCTAAACATCCAAGAGTCCCTCCCCTTTCTGATGTGTAGCTCTCACCTTCCTCTTCTAGAAGCTGAGCCAAATCCTCCACTAGAGTAACCACTTCTTCAGTGCTCTCAGGGTACTGGGACTTCACCCAAGTCTTAACTTCCCCGGGCAGGATAGTCAGGAATTGTTCCAGCACCAGCTGCTCCAGTATCTGTTCCTTTGAATGAATCTCAGGTCTCAGCCACTTACGACAGAGCTCTCGGAGTTGAGTCAATGCCTTTCGAGGACCAGATAGTTCTGGGTAAAGAAAATTCCTAAAATTCTGTCGACACGCCTCAGTGCCACGTGCGAATCTTGAAGCAATGACTTCCTTCTCAATATTTCGGGCTATACTCTGAGTCTTGTCTGGCTTCCACATTAGAAAGATCTGGGAGCGCAAAGATTTGGTCATCCTCTTGTTTGGGGAGAACATTGCTGTGGGCAGGTAAATCAGCCTGGCAATAGCTTTTATTTCTTCAGGAGTGAGTCAACTGCTTGAAGTCTCATGCTACAGACACCAAGAGATTAAATCAAGAGAGCCCGAATCAGGAGGCTCAACAGATCAAGGGAGAGGTAGAGGCCTTTGCCACAAATTCTGAGCCAGAACTTGTAGGGACGGTTAAGAGATCCTGAAACACAAGAATGGACCATGAGGTTAAGAATTCCTGGCATTCTCTGCTGTATGTACACACAGAAGCAGACTTCCCAGAGTTCACCTATAAACACACACATGCTTTACTCTGGTCTCATCCCCATAAAATAACTGCAAGCTGCAAGAGGATGGGCTGGGAGGGGCGCTGTCATAAAAGGGTAATGATAACAGCAAAAACTTAGGGGATCCTGAGCAAAATGCCAAAGAAACTTCTAATTTGTTGAAACAGGTAAATACATTCTAGTACTTCCGTCTTTGATGTTACAGATGCTGTAATGGCCGAAATAGCTCTCAACAAGAGGGCAAATCTATTGTTTCTTGGCTCAAACTGGGAGAATTTCTTAATAAATTGTTCCAGGTCCCCATTGGAATTGGGGAGGGGGCAGCGAAACTGGGTATACCATTTCCTTGCCATGCATGTGAATGCCAGCACATTCCAGCTTTTCGCTGGAAAAGTCTGACGGTCGGACGGGGAAGAAACTCCAAGTACAAGAGGTGGGTGTGGTTTGAAGCCCCTGACTCGGAAGCCACTGGATGGCAATGGGGTGCATTTGGTTTGGGGGGGAAGGGATTCTAGGGAGACAAGTCCTTAAAAATAAACCCGACCCCGGGATTCCCAAAGCCCAGCTCAGCTGGCCTGCCTGGGGGGAACGGGTACCACCTGCTCACCGGCGCCACCTGAGCCC